TCACCCGCTAATGGTTATTGGGGAGGGGTGACGTCACTCGCTAATGGTTATTGGGGAGGGGTGCGGCACGTGGAGTGATGTCACCCACTCATGATTATTAATGAATGGGGGGGGGGGGGTTGTCCTATGTGGAGTGACGTCACCCGCTAATGGTTATTGGGGAGGGGTGACGTCACTCGCTAATGGTTATTGGGGAGGGGTGCGGCACGTGGAGTGATGTCACCCACTCATGATTATTAATGAAGGGGGGGTTGTCCTATGTGGAGTGACGTCACCCGCTAATGGTTATTGGGGAGGGGTGCGGCATGTGGAGTGACGTCACCCGCTCATGATTATTAATGAGAGGAGGGGCGCGACCTTGTGCGTTGTGTAAATTTCCACGCGGACATGAATATTAATGAAGGGGGCGGGGCTCTTTTGCAGTGACGTCACGCACGGATGGAGCATTGTGCTGCGTAGATTTATTTTTTACCGTCACTTTCTGCAAAGAAACGTCATATTTGAAGCGACGTTGCGTAATAAATTATTTAATTTAGCTCGACCTTCCTCTGCGTTCGTGATAAAACTCCACCCACTCATGAATATTAATGAATGACGTCACGCGGTGGGGGGGGTGGGGCCTCATGTGCAGTGACGTCACACGGGGGGGTGGGCCTCATGTGGAGTGACGTCACGCGCGGGACGGACAGACATCTCTGGGTGATGATCGTGGGTAACGAAGTCACGTACGTAGATTCTAGATTTGAAGCGTTCGTGACTGCAAGGATTCATATTCTTAGGTTTTTTCGGTAAAGTCACGTAGGTAGAAAAGTTAAAATTAATAAAAATAAAATAAAAATCACGACGTTTCGGAGGCAACACAAGCTTCCGTCTTCAGGTGGAACCGTCACCTGTTGCCTCCGAAACGTGATTTTTATTTTACTTTTATTAATTTTAATTTTTTTTACCTACGTGACTTTACCGAAAAAACCTAAGAATAACGTACGTAGATGTGTATGTTATGATACACAATTTATATACTGTAGATATACTGTGTATATACAGACAAAGGACCCCCGTATAGGCTATAACAGACTGCTTGGGCAAGTGTTGTTAGCAGCCATGGCACACGAAAGGAGGGTTTGGTGGCCAGCACCACGCCCGGTCACCTTTGTCTCCCCAGTGCTCGTGTTGTACACACCGCCAGCAGGTAACTCATTTAAGGCGGAGTCGACCTAGGGGTGGCCCAGAACTGCGTTCAAGATTATGGCCACAGATGTTGGTCGTGAGCTGGAATCGAAGTTTGGTCCCACTGGTTTGTTAGCCTGGTGCGTTAACCACAACACAACAACACTTTGACTCTTTATCATACATCTTGTAGTAGTCAGTGTAACATCATGAAACGTCTTTAAATACAAAATTAATAAGCTTAATGTAGGGTAGGGTGGGGGGGCTAATATCTGTGTTAATTGTAGTGGAAATCTCTTTACCTAATTACAAGCGTTTGCATTCCAACATTGCCATCACCAATGGGTTTGTGCAGTAATTATGAAATTATTGTTGGCGGTCTCTTACCTAGTGTGGCAATATAATACCGATATACAATAATGTACGTGCATTTTGTTCCATGATATATAGTTTTTATAATTTGCAAAAAATAGTAAAAGCTATTAACTTAAAGGTTTACTGTATATAGTATACGCGTGTCAAAAAAATAACGTTTCAAATTGTTACAAAGTTACGTAACATTGCTGCAACATCACGCATTCGTATCCATGTGTATAGCATTTGTAATCGAGACTGCCAAAGTATATAAATTATAATATATTCACAATCATACGGCGAGATAGCGGCAGATTGGAGAGGCTGATGATTAAACATTTACCGGACACGACAAAATATAATCTTGACAATGGGTTATTATTTTTTTAAATAAAAAAAATGCCCAGCCCTGTTGGAAACCCAATCAACCCACTGAATGTAAAGAGGCCTCCCGACCTCACCCCCTAGACCACGTGGGTTGTTTTGACCATACTTCACCACTCTGGTCAACGGTGAGAGAGTTGTGGAATTTTAAAAAACACGTGACGGGTGGAAGGGTGGGAAAACCGCGTGATCGTAGTCAGAAATCGAACTTTTGGGGGGCCCCCTTTCAGCGCAGTGCTTGGATAACCATTGACTATTCTAGATTTGAAGCTTTCGTGACTGCAAGGTTTTTTTTCGGTAAAAGTCACGTAGGGAAAAATAAATAATAAAAATAAACGAAAAAAATAATATAAATATTATAATAAAAAATAAAATTAATATAAATATTAATTATTTATTTTTACCTCCGTGACTACCGAAAAAACACAAGAGTATGAACCATTGACTACTCATGGGAGTGTTGGTGGAGCGGTGGCGCAGTGGTTAGCGCACTTGGCTGTGAGTTCGATTCCCGGCCACGGCTAATCACATCTCAGTGGCGAGAGATGGGGGGGGGGGCCTCTGACAAGCGTGGTGTAAAGTGTGTGTGTTTTAAAATACTACGTTACTTTTCAAAGTGTCTTCTTTGTATATTTGTATTGAAATAGATGAATTATATTGTATATTCTTTCGGATTTGTGTGTGTTAAAGATCGTAACTTGACCATATTTCACCACGCCAGTCTTCGGTGCGGTTTGGTGAAGACGTGTTGCAGCGCACCACGACAACGCACTTAGTAATAATAATATCGACAACAGTGAATAATACAATGTACAACTAACTTGTTGAACGCATCTTTGGAATCGTCGATTGCATTTCTGAGTTTGTTGGCAAATTGTTATGCAGGTGCTGCACATCGATAGCGAATAATGAAATAGCTTTTGTACGAAATGAGAATATACAGACGGGTAAACATTGTTTCTGCCGACTAACACACGTGGTTGTTATATAATAACGAGGTATTTTAGTCACCAATTGTAAACAATTTGGGTTGGACGTCGTTCCAATGCCCCTCCTGAATCTTCCTTGAGGTTGACAGCCACAGGAAATGTGAGCGGGCATTGTCAGCAACTGAATGTTGGTATTGTTCGTATTTACTTTATATATTTATTATTAATTGTATTCTTATCGTTGTCATAACCAGCCATGGTCTATCCATATCGACAAGATCTCTAAATGTAAAAACCCGGTTTATTTTATGTGTGTGTATATATTTTATTGCATTCACAGATGGAAATTGTCGATCTACAAACTAATTGTAAAGTTGCCTTGTATCAATAATGTAATTGGCCGCGGCCTGTAACGCAGGCTAAAGTATTACTACAGTACTCTTACATTATTTAGTATGTTTTACATACTTGAGCTGTAGTGTGTTTGTGTATTACATAACATACACTGTAATGCATTGCGTATTGTACTAAAAGTTTGTAGTTTACATTACATACACACTAGTATATGTGGATGCATGTTTGTGCGTTACATAACATGCACTGCGCGTTTGTATATTTCATAACGTACGCTATTGTGTAAGTATTGCATACTATTGCATACTTACACAATAGCACGGTATAACTATGTTGTATATTACATAACACAAATGTTACCGTCGTGCATGCATGCATTGCATACTTACACATGCACGTGTTTGTACTGTATATTACGTAACAAAGACAAAACCCCCCCGTGTAGCCTTAACAGACTGTAGGGGCAAGTGCTGTTAGCGAGCACCTATGAAGGCCGGCACTGTGGCACACGAGGGGGGGTGGGTGACCAGCACCACGCCCGGCCGCCTTTGTCTCCCCCAGTGACGACGTTTGCACACCCACTACCAGCTACTCATTTGCGGCTGAGTCGACCTAGGGGACGAGGCCCAGGACCGGTTCAGATGAACCGTCCCCGGTGTTGGCCGTGAGCGGGAATCGAACTCGGGTCGCCGGGTTCGTTGCTAACCGCTGCGCCACCGCTCCCCACGTGCTCATCACGTAACACATTGTCCTGCGGAGGGAGCTGGTAGGGACGTCGGGCTGCTCGGTCAATGGCCTGCAGGGTCAACGGCGGCGTGGTGTATTCCGCAAATATGCCCGACTGTGAGGGCGGGCACAAGCCGGCGTGAGTAGGTTAAACGTTGAGTTTTATAAGGGCACCACGCGGTGACCAGCTTCTCCCCACCCAGCTCCACCCCTCCCACCCCCACCCAGCCCTCCCTCCCCACCCAGCCCCTCCCCACCCAGCCCCACCCCACTCTCCCCTCCCTACACAGCCCCACCCTCCCCACCCAGCCCCTCCCCACCCTCCACACTCAGCCCCTCCCCACCCAGCCCCACCCTTCCCACCCTCCCCACCCAGCCCTCCCCACTCTCCCCTCCCAGCCCTCCCCACCCATCCCCACCCTCCCCACCCAGCCCCACCCTTCCCACCCTCCCCACCCAGCCCCACCCCACTCTCCCCTCCCAGCCCTCCCCACCCAGCCCCACCCTCCCCACCCAGCCCCTCCCCAGCCAGCCCCACCCCACTCTCCCCTCCCCCCAGCCCTCCCCACCCAGCCCCTCCCCAGCCAGCCCCACCCCACTCTCCCCTCCCCACCCTCCCCACCCAGCCCCCCTCCCCACCCAGCCCCTCCTTGCACGACGGACACAATAATCCCCTGTGGGCTGGTGTAACCAGGAGGTTCCTACCAGTAACACTCACTCACTGGCGTGGGGGGCCGTGGGGGGCCGTGGGGGGCCTTCTCGCTCACAGCTCTTGCCCCAACACTCTGTTCACCCTACACGAGGTGCGTGTGTGTGATGGTGATGGTGGTGATTGTATTTGTTGTGCTTCTAGATTTGAAGCTTTCGTGACTGCAAGGATTCATATTCTTAGGGTTTTTTCGGTAAAGTCACGTAGTTAAAAAATTAAAATTAATAAAATAAAATAAAGATCACGACGTTTCGGAGGCAACACAAGTCTCCGTCATCAGGTGGGACCGTCACAGCCAGATTAGCTGCATCAAGCGAGGCAAGGATTCAAGATGTAATCCCTTGTTGTGCTTCTTGTCAGGAGACTCCGCTAGGGGGCGCCGTAGTGAGCCCCCCCCCCCAACACCAACAAACATCATCTCCACACACACACAGCGCTTGGAGAGGGGGGCACTTGAGTCGGATGTCTCGACGGGCGGAGGTGGGAGCTGCCCCCCCATCACACCCCACACTTGACCCCATCGCTACCATCACCACCATCGCTACCACCACCACCACCATCGTTGCAACCACTACCACCATCGCTACCACCACTACCACCATCGCTATCACCACCACAACCATCGCTACCACCACCACAACCATCGCTACCACCACCACCACTAACATCACCACTACCACTACCACCATCGCCACCACCACCACTAACATCACCACTACCACCACCACCACCATCGCTACCATCACCACCATCGCCACCACCACTAACATCACCACTACCACCGCCACAACCATCGCTACCACCATCGCTACCACCACAACCATCGCAACCACCACCACCACCATCGCCACCACCACCATCGCCACCACCACCATCGCTATCACCATCACCGCCATCGCTACCATCACCGCCATCGCTACCACCACAACCATCGCTACCACCACCACCATCGCTACCACCACAACCATCGCTACCACCACCATCGCCACCACCACCATCGCTATCACCATCACCGCCATCGCTACCATCACCGCCATCGCTACCACCACAACCATCGCTACCACCACAACCATCGCTACCACCACCACCACAACCATCGCTACCACCACCACCATCGCTACCACCACAACCATCGCTACCACCACCACCACCATCGCCACCACCACCACCATCGCCACCACCACCATCGCTATCACCATCACCGCCATCGCTACCATCACCGCCATCGCTACCACCACCAACCATCGCTGCCACCACCACCACCATCTCCACCACCACCATCGCTACCGCCACCACCACTACCACCATCGCCACCACCACCACTAACATCACCACTACCACCATCACCATCGCTATCACCACCACCATCGCTACCACCACAACGATCGCTACCACCACAACGATCGCTACCACCATCGTTGCAACCACTACCACCATCGCTACCACCACCGCCATCGCTACCACCACCACCATCACCACCATCGTTGTGGTTTTATATATCTATCTAGATTCTAGAAGATCTCCGCGAGGAGTGATGTGCTTGGAGGAAGCTGCACGATGGTGGCAGCTGCCGCGCCCGGAGATCGAACCCGGCAAAGTCACTGCTGACCAGTACAACACCGCAGCCTTGTGTAGTTCATCATCTACGTGATTTGTATTTAATGTGCTTGTATATTAGTAGTGTACAGGGTATGTTGCATACACCTGCTGCTATGGTGTACATATATTTGTATTGTAATTGGTATTTTGTACGCATGTTTAATTAATAATTACAAATGTACAGGTTTGTGTACGTAACCTAATCGCGTGTACATGTATTTGTAATGTTTGTTAAGGTATTTGTAAGTCGTGTGTGTTGTATTGTAGAGGTGCTCTAAGTGTATTTGCAATTACAATGTTGTACGTACTGTATATAAACGTATTTGTACTTTATTTCGGATGTATATAATACAGTGTTGTGTATGTGATTGTATTATCGTGTGTGTACATGTATATTTATATTTGCATGTATTATCGTCTGTGTGTTTGCTTATGTGTTGTAATCTATACACAAGAAGAGGGTACATCTTGTGTATATATAACTACACATATACGGTGTAGAGTAATACGCAGTACAATTTAAATATCCGTGTGACTTGTGCTATTACATTGTTATTACACTTATTGTATTTATTATTTGAAATTGTATTATAATTATTGTAACCATTATTACCGTTGCAGTTAACACTTTTTTTAAAACAATTACATCGCCTTTGTAAATGCCGTATATCTTAACCTACATTTAACTGCGTTATTAAATTCACGAAAGCAATCCATAATTAACGTGCTAAAGTAATAACAATGAACGTTGCGATAATATTAATATTGCATTGTACATGAAACTCGTTTTATAATGTAATATGCATGTAGCAGAAGTATGCAATTGTGGTCGCACACAAAGTTGTAAAAGATAAAGGGTTAACACGCTTGCAATGTTTGATAATATAAACAAAGCTTTTATCAGGAAATCCTTGGTGTATTTGAAACAACCATTATAATTTATTCTTGTAATAATGTATAACATCATGAGCGTTTCATTGATGAGGGTGGTGGAATTACGTGGCATTGGACATACGAATTGCTATATAATATTTAACATTAACATCACATTACTGCGGTGTTAATGTGTGCATTCTCATGCTGTGAACAATGTGCAACATTTACAAATACAGTGGTTCGTGACATCTGAATATGATACGCAATTGCATTCGTTAGATGTTAGAGTATTGCGAAACGTCTGACCCCGTTTTACTCGCTTAATGTTAAACATTAACACACATTTGTTACGTAACGCTTGGTGCGACAACCATTTCTCTATGCGGATTATTAATACATTATTAAAAAGTTCAATCTGAATTCTAGAATACCTGCACAGTCTGATAAAGCTTCCAATGTTATAATGAAATAAATACCGTCACAATGCACAACACAATAGGGATAGTTTGTGCAATGAGTAGGCACTTAAATTAAATACACCTTTTAAAGACAACTCAATTAGCTTCAGCAAGTACTGCACTTTATTTTCAATACAGCTAACTGTACGCTTAGTGCATGCTAATTAAAGGCACAGTATAGTCTGGTTAATTATGGTTAAATATTTCCTCATTAGTGAACCAGCAGAGGAATTGCCCAAATAACGTTAAACGTGCATGCACTCGTCCACTCAACGAAGTGTCCTTGACCTTTTAAAATAAGAACTAAAGCGCAATTAGTTCTGAGCACAAAGTCTCTTATTTATCATTATTATTTGTAACAGAAGCGTACGCTTAGTGGCATGTATACGCATGCACACATGTGCTGTAACGTGCACAACTCGTGTCCACAAAGCTGAACAAAAGGGACAATTTTGGCCTCGGTAATAATGATAAAAAAACGTACTAATCGATGCGAGAAAATATAATAACTGTAAGTAGCCAATGTCTCTCTATGGTCAGGCCGTGGCAACACACAGCTGCCACAATGGATCACTTGCAAGTGGCTCACAACGTAACACTGTCGACTTAAATGGTCACGCCACAACCGCATTGCATCATATCATCATCATCATCGTCGTACGCGATATGAACGAAGGATATCTTCAGACTCATCTCTGCTGCGTCGGCATGTCGCTAATTCCACGGTGTTACGAAGCCATCTGCAGCACCCCCCAGTTCTCCTTTATTTACCTCCCCCCCCAACATTGTTGCTCATTCGGCATAGAACCATCGTGGTCGGTGTGGTGCCCGCTAAAGGTGTCTCCTTTGTGCCGTACGGGGCGCACGGCTGGGTCCACGCAATCGCGGTAAATTAGTTGTGTGAAAAAATAAGAGTGGGTTTTACCCCCCTCCCCCCTTTCTGGCAATCAAACACGTGAAAATATTCAAACGCCAAATTCGATAACCTTTTGCAAGCAATCAAGTCCGCATTAACCACACGTGCTCGTGCTGAACATGCAAACACAATGTGGCTGCTCACCCCGAGCTATAAATGCTCTGATACGTGTGGAATTGTCTTTGTACTGTTCGCTTTTGGCATGAACCACGTGTACTTAGGGTAAACATGCAAATAACACTGATAATGATCGAATTGTGTTGTCTTTGAAACAGATTGGCCTACAACAGAGACAGCCTTCTTCTTCGTGGCCTTGTCTCCCGCCACCAGTGTCCGACCAAAGAACATCAACAGGCGAACAAGCACAAAGACAATCAATGCACGTATCGGATCATTTATAGCTCGTGGTGAGCAGCTATATCATGTTTGCATGTTCAGCACAAGCATGTGTGGTTAACGCAGACTTGATTCCTTGCAAATGGTATCTAATGTGGCGTTTGAACATCTTAACCACCTGATTTATTGCCAGAAAGGGTAAAACCAATTATTATTTTTCATACTCTGATACTGGCAAAAACGTTCCATGAAATGACATTTTGGGTGGAAATATGTTTAGTTTTCTTTGTATCCTGTAGGATCGAGGGTGCTTTTTTGCTCACAACCACCCTGGATGTCAGTTGCTAAATGTTCATATTTGGGCAGGTTATGAAAATGGAAACTCTTACTTAAAATAATGTATCTGTGCCGAATCAGCATGCATGTTGAACTTCCTTTGCACCCTACATAGCCAACCGTGCAAAGTGTGGCGAGAAGAAGATGATTACGAAAATAAATCAAAATACAATCTACGGGGTGAAGAGAGAAAAATGTTCAATAAGCTGTGAAGCAAATTTAAAAAAATAACAGTACAAGTAATCCATTTAGCAGAATTGGTATAGCCAGCGACGTACTTATATAGATTTGCTGATGGCCGTGATATATTTTTTTGGACACGAATACACTTTATCGTCTTCATCCAGGGATAAATGATGAGGGTCAAATTCGTCTTTTAACGTTGGGAGCCAACATTTCCAATATAACCTTACAAAAAAATACCTCATTGGCGATCTTTGCCTTGAATGATTTTTATTTTATTTTAAAACTATTACAGTGAGTAGAGACTGAAACGATTGTAACCATTGTCATGATTAACAGCACTGCCTTGCAAAACAAAACACCCTAAGTGGAAGCTAACAATTTCACACGGTGGCTTTTTAAGGAACAGAATTCCAATGCACCGTGTACATCTTTGCCAATGCAGCGCTTTGCTAAAAATCGAATGGGAGCACACCGATCCAAAGCCACAGAATCGTGTGTTTAATAGAGAGAAAAAATATTAAAAATATGCATTAATTACTAAAAAAAATGACAGTCTGTTTAGCAAAACTGTAGGATAAACCCCCCTTTTCCACACATGACACATTCACACATTTCAGCACTCTATCTCGTACTCTAACCACTGCCCAATAACGCCAAATGCCCCGTCAGCAGAGGATTTCTTTTAATATTGCGACCTTTGCCAATTAGCACCACCAATAACCCAAAGGCGGTGCATCACGCCATTAATTATGCATTCCATAAAATATATAAAAAAAGACATCAACATTCACCATTTACCATGCAACACACGTGCAACTTACATTTTCTGCACACATCTCTACCCAACTCTCATCTGCAACCATTGACCACCAACTACCCACCCACCCACCACCAACAACAACAAAAACCCAGCAGCAGAGGTTTCTTTAAATTGCAGACGTTTGTGGCGGTGGTGGGGTGGTGGTTGGGGTGGGGGGGATGTGGAAGACGCATGGGTTGCTGGATTAAGCGGGCTCTGCTGCTTATTTACAGTGGGAACGCGCTGGCAAGCAGTGGCTACCTCGGCAGCGCCGTGCGGGAGCCTGGTATTGTCTGGGTGTGTGCCCGGCACCATGGAGAATGGCACCATTGTCTCGAGCCTCCTTGCACTTGGCACACCCCGCCGCGTTTTGGCCATCCTCGCTCCCCGCCGCCGCCGCCACCGCCGCCCCCCCCCTCCTCCTGCTCCACATCCCTAGCCCGGTTTCTCTCTCTCCCCTCCTCCCGCCCTTCTGCCTGCCCGCCTGCCCACTCTCTCGTCTACCCCTCTGTCTGTTCATCTGTCTGTCTGCCTGCCTGCCCTTACTGTCTGTCCATTCACCAGTGGTCGACTTGGCCAGCCAACCCGCTTGACGCGACGACGATGCAAAGGGGGGTGATGTCGGTAGGGGGGGGGGGAGGTTGGTGGATGGGGTAGGGGGGGTGAGTGAGGAGTGTGGGGCCAGTGGTCAATTCGATCTCCATTCATGGTAGCACACACCCGCACGCCGCCGCAACAGCAGCATGTTTACTGTAATAAGCTACGAGCGTATTTGCCAAGAAGGTCTTTCTAGTGGTTTGGAGCCTTTTTGCGAAATGGAGTCTGGCCGCCATTGGCGCTGCATCTGTGTTCGGGCTTATTATTTATTACGGCTTCGTTTTATGCAAGGCGTGTTGTTCGTTAGCACGATGCGCTAAGGTGTGACGATAATGTATAACATTGTACGTTGAACTTTTTTCGCACCGTGCGCAGCCAACCACGCGAATCCGAGATGCGGGGGAAAGGACAACAAAGTAAACCCAAAAAGCAGGTTTAGAGAAATTAGTATTCAGTCTAGATGATTTAAAACTGCATCACTCCAGTGGCTTCGTAATATCTGAAGGAAGAGCATTCCAGACGGCCACAGAAAATGTCCATGTGTGGTCGGATTGAGTCCCCAAAGCAGCAGTCATGTATACAAAGAACTGATGCCCCATATAGCCTTAATAGACTGTTGGGGCACGTGCTGTTAGCGAATACCTATGAAGGCCGGAACAGCACATGAGGGGGCGGGTGGCCAGCACCACGCCTGGCTGCCTTTGTCTCCCTAAGTGGAAATGTTTTTATACATAGCACCAGGTACTCGTTTGAGGCTAAGTCGACCTAGGGGAGGCTGGGGACAGATTCAGATAATCGTCACTGGTGTTGGCTGTGAACGAGAATTGAACTCGAGTCGCCGGGTTCGTACCGCAGCGCGGTAACCACTGAACCACCGCTCCCACAATCATGTTTATATACACACGCGTGCACACACGCATGCAATGGGGAGGTTGGGAGGAAACGGCGATTGCAAGATTTAGGTGATGCTTGTTTTGTCACTACAGAAATCCCAGCTTTTCAAGCTTGCACAATAATCACAATGTGCGTGTTTTGACATCGTTACTTGGAAGCAAGTACGCGAAATTTTTGGCATGCAAGGCTTGTCCATACAATTCGGTCGTTTGTGCCGGAATAATTTTTTTACCCGGTGACAATTTGTCGCGGTATGAATGTTTGTCGGTGGAAATGTTTTTAAAGTGTGATTGTAGATGAAATCCGTTATGTAAGAACCGGTGACCTCTGCATGGCAAATCCAGTGTGCTAACCATTGCAACCACAGCAGCAGCATCTCCTGGCGTGGCAGTTGAAACAACAGGGCAAGTTTGTTCAATCTCCCTGCCTCGAATCCACCCAGTAGAATAAATGGGTACACTACATCATGGGACCTCCTTTGCCAGTATCAAAATATGAGAATAGGTTTTTAACCTTCTATCTGGCAACTAAACAGGTATTAAGTTGTTAAAACATCAAACTGAAACCTTTTACAATGAATCATGTGTGCATTAACCGCAATACTTGTGGTCAGAATGCAAAAAAAAACATACTCTGATAATATATGCATTGTCTTTGAAACTGATTGGTCCACACCAGAGACAGCTTTCTTTTGAGCCTCGTCTCAAATGGTGTTAGACTAGAGGACGCCAAAAGGCGTTCTACCATTTGAGACGAGGCCCAAAAGAAAGCTGTCTCTGGTGTGCATCAATCAGCTTCAAAGACTGTATATATTATCAGAGTGTTTTTTGTTGGCATTTGACCACAAGTATTGTGGTTAATGTAGACATGATTCCTTGTAAAAGGTTTCAGTTTGGTGTTTTAACAACTTAACACCTGTTTTGTTGCCAGATAAAAGGGGAAAAACCTATTCTGGGTCCACTACGTTTAGTTTAAAGGCACCTCTTGTGTGATGGGGTAAATTGTGGGTAATCTCACCTCTTTTTAGATGTCTGGCTGATCAGGGTGGAGGAGTAGGCCAAAATACCCTCGAGTTGACCTATCTATAAAGGCTCCTTTTTTGGGAGACCCAAAAGCAGTGGATTTAGCAAGCAATTGCAGGGCTCCATGTTGAAGTCTTACAGTACATTCACTACATTATATGCATGTTGCTGCTATTTGTCAATTTTTGTTAGTTTGTATTTAACGGTGGACCTTAATCTGTGCAATATCTTACCAAGTTTATGTTCAATATAAATTTTTTTTTACCGGCTTTGACACCGGGATAGAAAAACTGTACATTTTTTTTTTCCGGAGAGGAATTTATATGAAAATAACCCCACAAATTGGGCCAGAAATGTTATAAGTGCCTAAGTGAATTCATAAATAAACATCCGGCCAGACAACACACGCACAAAAAAGGTCCCTTAAGTCCAGAAGAATGCTCAAATGTTAATATTTTAACGTATGCATCTGCATTGTCACTAGAGAATACACACACGCAAACACAGAAGAAGATGCACATAAGCACAACTAATTATTTTTAAAACCACAACCACGGGCGTGGAGCGATGAGGCTCGGCTCATGTGCAGGAGCGAGATGGATCGTGGTGTCCCTCAACTGTCAGCGATGGCGACTACATCAAGCAGTGGATAGACCATGACTCGTGCTGATGGACATCAACAAAAATGTATTCTGTTGTTAGAGGCTACCTCACTGCCAAGCCTCTAATCTTCAACTATATCCAACCCAGGTTTAGTTCTATACTTTTGTATAACATTGTTAACAGTGTGATATCTACAAAGATCTCAACACATTCAGTACCACTGCCTTATAAAGGAAAATTATATAATAGGTGGCATTTTGGCCAATGACTATAACTCGGAAGGGGCTATTGTGCAATAAAGTAGGGCCATTTCCCGAAACGTTGCTTTTTATTTATTTTACCGTTTAATGTCATTGACAAATGTGATGTTTTTTTATTTGTGCTTGTGTACCACTGGCAGCGCAGCATCGACAAATAATGTGTGTTAAGAGGCACAAAGGTTTGTGACACTGAAAGCTTTTCAGTAACTGCCCTTTCGATATCTTTAATTACATGCGATACAAAGAGAAATAATGTTCACGATGAGGACGATGCAAAATCACCAGCATATCTTAAAATTGACATGGACTTCAAATGTTTATGCTATGTCTAATCTATAGATTTATTTCTAAGCATTAGTTGACAGCAGACGCTGGTAGGAACGTTGGGTTGCTCGGTCAATGGCCAGGGTCAACGGCGGCGTGGTGTATTCCGAAAATATGGCCGACTGTGAGGGCCGGCACAAGCCGGCGTGGGTAGGTTAAACGTTGAGTTTTATAAGGGCACCACGGGGTGACCAGCCCCTCCCCACCCAGCCCCACCCCACCCAGCCCCACCTAACCCCACCCTCTCCACCTCGCCTCTCCCAACCCTCCCCACCCAGCCCCTCCCCACCCAGCCCCACCCCTCCCATTTTGGGATGCTCGACGGACGGACATAATAATCCCCTGTGGGCTGGTAGAACCAGGTGGTTCCTACCAGTATAATGATTGTTAACCATGATCTATCTATTGCTGGATGCAGGCCACCTCAAGCTATCGCCATCCCTCAGTCCTGCATTGCTGCTGTAGTCCCATCTTGTTCCGGCACAGGAGCTGACCTCATCGCTCCATGGGTTAAGATACGCGGTAAAGGTACAGCCCCGCAATTGCTTGCGTGCGACACGTCTGGTGGAAGGGCCCTGCACTCACTACACAGAGTTCTACTCTTAAACGCATGTTCATTCTAAATGTGGAGGGAGAAATCGGAGGATCCGGGGAAAAATCCACGCGATCGCGAGGAGAGAGACACGGAAACGCCAAATATATTGGCATCAGGATCAGGATCCAACCCACGATCTGTTATATACCAGACGAAGTAGTTAACATCTCGCCACCGTGGCGCCCACATCGGAGTGGAGCCAGTAGAATTAGCGTGTACGGTTAAGAGTGTAATGATTCGTCACCTAACCCTTCAATGATTTGTCACAATTCAGGGTTTCAATTCGATTCAAGCATTGATTCCGTTTTGTAAGCCTGGTGAATGTAGCGGCCTCCACTAGCCGAAGGGGTCAGTCTATTACATGCAATGTGTACAATTAATCGAAATCGGCTTGTGTGCCGAAGCTATACTGATTGTTGCATTATGTGACCATGATAATGGCCGTGAGCTTTAATCATCGCCTCTACTAGATATTTTGGCCTGGCCGAATTACGTTAAGTCCTCACTTAACACTTGTTCACATAACGCCGTTTCGCTAAAACGCGGTTCTTCTGTTAGGGAACACTTTTCGCACAACACGGATTGCGCACCGCGATAGCGCGGTTTCTGAGCTGTCGACGACGAACTACTTTATTGTGCTGCATGGCTGAACGGTGTGATACAGTGCGCGGCGGCGGCTTACCCTCTTCTCAGTTCTTTGTCCTGCCGTGGGATGACTGCCGGATGATTTTATCGTGCAAAATATGATTCAGTACAGTAGTTCCTCACTTATCGCAATTTTCACTTAACGTAAGTGTACGCTAGTTTATAAGTCTCCATGTAAGTCTGTGTGTGTACATGTATGCGAGTCTAAAATAGTTCTTCACTTATCGCAGTTTTCGCTTAATGTAAGTGTACGCTAGTCCATAAGTCTCCATGCACATCTGTGTGTGTACATGTATGCGAGTCGAAAGTAGTTCCTCACTTATCGCTGTTTTAGCTTAACGTGGCACTTTTCAGGAATGCATCTACCGCGTAAAGCGAGGGATTACTTTTCCAAAGAAGGTCATCTCCTGGAAAGTGGTCATTAAGAACCTGTTTCATTATTAGTCTCTATGTGCGTCTGCCACCAGTACGGCTTAAAGAGGTGTATCGAATTGATTTCACAATCGGTTCTGTAACAGCATCATCTGGGGATGTTCTATGACACACTGGGGGTACACTGCTAGCTGCAGCGTTTGAAGTTGTGTCTGTCTTAATATAATGACATAGTGCCGTTTGTCTCTGGCCACTTGGTAGTTTGGGTGTTTGGGCTTGTGCACAGAAATTGATGACATTAACAACAATTCATTTAGATTATGATTGGGTGCTCAATAGCAATGCATTGTGTGATTTTGTCATAGCCCCATTGTCATAGCCCTAATCTGAAATGCTGAAACTTCATCGTCATTGTTCGAGATGGGGCTGCATGGGCCACTTCTGTGGTGTTAAGGGATCGAATTTAGCTGTAAGAGACACGATTTTGATGTGGAAGTAATGTCTCGCGATACATATCAGAGAGTTGGACTTTAGATTAGCAATTAGAAATAAACTTGTTACAACCTTTGAATGTAAGATGCTAAAGCGTTGTCGGATGAGGGCCTCCCCGATCCGTGCGGATTGTGAGGTTTTCTTGATCAATAGTTCACCACGCTGGTCGGTGCGGTGGTTAGTGAAGATATAAAAATATAAGTGGATCATATGTTGAGAAAAGCCTTTCTCAAAACCCATTTTTATTCCTCAGGAGGGGGCCTGCAATTTGGGATGCGTTTGGCTGTTTACGTTTAGTCCTCGCGTGCGTCAATCTCGTCTGTGGTGGACTGCGACGATTCGTTGGCGTGTCGGCCATGGTGGACGTGCATATAAAACTTCTGACGTGCGTACAGTCAGTCCTCCTCTCCATTGGACATCGTTTATTGACTAAAGATATTGAACAAAGACGGTCACTTACACCGCGCGCTTTCACATGCGCTTCTACGGCCGTCTGGAACGCTGTTCCTTCCGATATTGGCAAGCCACTGGAGTTATGCACTTTTAATTCTAGATTGAAATCCCAAGCCCATTTCAATCTCCCGATTAGCACGGTTGGTTATGTACGGTGCGAAAGAAGTTCAACATACATCTAATCGGTGCGGCAACGTAGCGGTTGTAAATATGGCTACTACTGCAGAAGCGTTTTGGTCAAGCAGAGCTTGGCATGCCGTGAATATCACTCATTGAATCCTCCACCCATGTAGAGGGCTCGGTCTTCCAGATTGAATATTTTGTCTCGCCCACACGGTGTTCAACTGGCACCACCACCACCACCACCTCACTGCAGGTGACAATACTTCTCAGCTTCATCTCTAGCGCTGCTTCTTCCCTCGCACTGCCCGCCTTGGGAATTCTCTCCCATTGTCTTGATTTTCAAACCCTTGTAGAATCTTGCCCAATTCAAGAAACAACGCTCGTCATCTCTAATCTATTGCAGTACAACAATCGTCGTGATGCTCGTTTGCTGGCTACTTGGTGTTTCCGGACTTTGGGCCCTGTGCTCAGCAGCTGAGATAAAAAACCAAAAATTATGGTTGCTGCTGCTGGTGGAATGCCAGTGTCCACAGTAATGGATACAGTAGAATCCGAACTTTGTGAATAAACAATTGGGTTATACATGGGTCACATGTTTAAGCAGATCATCATCTTATAAATGTGATGGTCTACATGAGGAATACACAGATGTATTTGTTCGATTTGTTTGTTATTTTAGAAAAGTAAGCCTGCTTGGGCAGGACACGTCGAAAGAAGGGAGGGATGATGGCCGATGGTCAAGACTAATGATGGGAGTGGCAGCCAAAGAATGGTACCTGTCTAAGTTGGCGTTCACAGAGGAGATGGGAGCCATGAATTGATGGAGCGATGAAATCAGCTCTCGTGTAGGTGCGTTGTGCATCATTACGTTGCAAGGCCGTGGGGAGGTAGCGGAGGCTTGGGGGGGAAGCCTTCCTCTAGCAGTGGATTTGAGCGTGGGCGATGATCAGGAGAGTGGGTTACGGGCATACGACCAGCGCCGTTGTACTGTGCGGGGCGAGACGGAAGACAGACGAGCCCTTGATGCGGCAGAGATGAGAATGCTGAGATGGGTGTTGGAAATCTCTTTCAGGGAAAGGAGGAAGAGAATTGGATCGGTTCGTGCCTTGGGGGTTAATTATAGTCTGGAGTTGGTCATGGAGATGGGTTTGGCCTCTCGTTGAGAAGAGACATGAGCAGATGTAATTTACAAGGGCCATGGAAATGCTATCAGGTGCAGAATAGGGGGGGTTAGATGGAGACTGGGGGTGAGGCGGGAAGATGTGGTGGAACGAGACGTGGTTGTGGACGGTGACTGGAAAAGAGGTGTGGGATAGAATCGCGTGGAGAAAGAACATCCGAGCAGCCGACCCCATTGCAGTAATGGTACTTTTGGCTGAGAGACTGCAAGTCTGTGGGTCTCTGCAAGTCCACGAATGTGTATTGGTCCCTGCGTATGTCTCTGGTTCACATCGATGTATGTAAGCTGATGGCTTTCGATCCGAGGTTGTGGCTCTCAATGTAAGTTGGGGTTAATGTAGTGTACATGTTGTTGGTCGCTATGCGAGTCCGTTCGTGTAAGTGTACGCGAGTCTAGGTCTCCATGTAAGTCTTGTGCGTGTACGTGCACCTTTATGTGAGTCTATAGGCCTCCATGTAAGTCTGTGTGGTTCGTGTACGTAAGTCTATAGGTCTCTATGTAAGTCTGTGGTTCCTGTACGCGAGTATATAGGTCTCGATGTAAGTCTATAGGTCTCAATGTAAGTTTGTGTGGTTCGTGTACGTATATGCGACGACGATGGACGTGACTTGAGGAGAGGGCGAAGAATGGAAGTACAGTAAGTGGAGAGGAAAAAAAAGAGGTAAAACATGGAACGGAATCGATCGTTGCAGTTTATATTTGTCGTTGTGCTGGCAGAGCCATCTTGGCTCGGGGCGCCACGCGTACAGTGAGAACCCGCGGTGAGCCAGCAACTCAACGGATGGGGTTTTTTTTGCCCCAGCCATAGATTACTTTAGCAGTTACATAGGATTGCACATGCACAAGCAAAGACATAGGGTCCCCCCGTATAAATTCTCATATGTACAAATGCGCAACACGCAAATGCACACGTAACACACGTAATTGCACACACAAATAGCCCGTGTGCATCCGACGTCAAAGACTAAGACATCCACCCCCTGCTTACATAGAATGTTGGGGTAAGTGCTGTTACAGAGCACCTAATGAGCGCTGGCACAGTGCACAAGCGGGTGGTTTGGCCAGCACCGCGCCTGCTCGCTCGCCCGCCCCCCTGCCTTTGTCTTGTCAGCAGTGCCGATTTTATTGCCACAATGCCGCAGGTACTCTTTTGAGGCCGAGTTGATGTAGAGGCGGCCCACGACCAGTTCCTATGTTACTCGCCGTGGCCGGGAACCGAACTCGGGTGGCCCCAGCGATGCATTCACGCGCACTCACGGCATGTTTACTGTAAAAGGTTACCATGGCACCATGCCACTGTGTCAGTCGATGATGCATTAAAATGTTTTGTAAATATAAATCGGGGGAGTTGTAGTACGATTTTTAGCACTCTGCGCTATTAGCCGAGTGATACGTGAATCAGTTCCTGGCACCTGCCCCCCCCCCCACCCTTCACTGTTCCACACTGACCAGCGTGGTGAAATATGGTCAAACAACCTTTACGGTCAACACAGCAAGGGTGGGTGGGAGGGGGAAGGCCTTCATCGAGCAGTGGTTTGACAAAGGGCTTGCAAGCTCGGTATTTATTTTCAACTTGCACATTTGGCACCCTGTTTATGACTTGGTGAATGTCCCCTGTCTGATTTTTAGGCAAAGCGTGCCGATAATTCCGTCGCCGACAACGGGGCAAAGGGCCAGCACGCCGAGACTCGGCGCGCTGAGCTTCCGCCATTTCATCAAGATGCAAATCCGTAGATATGGCGACGTGAGAGGCGGCTAATCCCCCCCCCAAAGGTACGACCGGTGCGAGACGCACGCAGTTCTTGCCGCTCGTCGGCTCGAGACATCGGCCTTTTCACCTTTGACCTTTGGCATCTAAGGCCTTTTATGTGTGGGTTAACATCGGAACAAGCACTTCCACCGCCACTATTACCACTGTTACATCACCGCCACGACTACGGCTACCACCACCACCACGGCCTCACCCTCCACCACTGCCACAATCGCTACCACCTCTGCCATCAACTACTGCCACAGCCACCAACACCACTGCCCCCTCCAAAGACAAATACAAATATCTTCCATATAGTCTCAACAGACTGTTGGGGCAAGTGCTGTTAGCAAACAGCACCTATGAAGGCCGGCATGGCAGTGAGGGGGTGGATGGCTAACACCGCGTCCGGCTGCCTTTGTCTCCCTCGTGACAATGTTTACACAGCGCACCAGTTACTCATTTGAGGCTGAGCTAACCTAGGGCAGGCCCAGGACCTGTTCAGATAATTGTCACTGGTGTTGGCCATGAGCGGGAATCGAACTCGGCATGCCGGGTTCGTAGTGCAGTGCACTAACCGCGACACTGCCTCCACCACCATTATCGCTACCGCCACCTCTTTCACCACCACTGCCGACAGCACCACCACCACCACGGCTTCCGGTGTGGGACTGACATCGTACACCCGCTGACGCCACCACCGAACGCCTGCAAATTCTCCGCTCTCGTGTCTCAGCGCAAATATCACCGCCACAACGGGGTTTTTTGGCATAAAATTGGGGCAGAAAAAAAATCACCAGGAAGGGTGGATCCGAACGGAAGGCTGGATAGGAGCCTTTGAATTTTGGAGACCTTTGTCGTTCCCAGAGAAAAGTTTACACGGCCGCAAAGTTGAGAAACGAAAAGGTTTAAACATATACATTGTATTTTTGTTGGGACATACAGTATTGTGTTTCATTCTGCTGGATGTTTCCAGAAAAAGAAAAAAAACCTCCGCTGCTTTGACTCTTGCCAGGACCTGCGTTTATATAATACATCCAAAGGGTGTGGGAGGGGGCGGCGGGGGGATTGGGGGCGGGGGTTGTGGAGAACTGGTAGACGAGAGAGTGATGGGGGGGGGGAAATTATTGTATGAAAAACACGACGCTAACAGACACTGGCTTTTAATGATGTGGACCGCTGGTGCACCCGTCAAGAGTGATCCACCTTTACCCCCTTCTCCCCGGTCGCCAAGCGGCCGGATCGCGGCTTGCAACATGCAGGCCGCACGATCCAAAAGACGTCCCCCTTTTTTGGAAAGTGGGGCAAAACGCGTTACGTAAACTTGGGCTAAAGGCTCACTTAAGAGCACTGTACGGAGAGGCACGTGGTATTTTCTCTCTCTCTCTCACGGTTGCAGACGAGATGAGATGAAACGGGGAGAGAGTAGTAGACGTAGCCACCTCGGCTGAGGCTGATCCAGCGAGCACGTAAAATTGCCCTGGATATCATAACCTAGTGACCAAACGCGCGCGCACACTCTCGCCGCCGCCAGCCTCCGCCTCGCTATCACAGTGTCCTATTTTACGTCGATGAGCACGGTTCGTGGGGATGTGGGCTTGTGGTTATTAAAATGTGTGTCATAGAAGCCAGCCAGCCAGCTGCACAGAGAGAGAGACGAGCATTTTCATGATTTATTCACCCGCGATTAAATAGTGCGTCACGTCTGGTGCAAGGTGGCAAACGCGTTGTTCGTCTCTCTTTGGCGTAGCCGAGAAGGGCAATGTGTGGACACGACCAACAACATTTCTTTGTGTGCGTGCGTGCGTGCGTGTGCGTCGCGCAGTCTGGCTCATAACGCCTGCCCGTGCTGGCTTGGCAGTGTTGCGGCGTGAATAACCTTGGTGAATGCGTCTGAAAGTTGGTGTTAGTAAATAGGAACGTGCGATATTCGCTTTTGGCTTCGAGCCCTGCCGGGTGGAGGGAGAACAAAACGACGTGCCTAGAAAAAATAAACGACAAGTGTGGGTCTGGTACAGTCGTCTGGGTTGGTGTTGTAGAGGCAGGGTTGGTGACAGCGGCAGTGTGTCGTGTTAGGAATAGAGAGGAGTTCTTGTGAAGCGGTAGGTGTAAGGACTAGTGCCAGAATTAGAGATACATGCTGGGATAGTGTTAACGGTCGGGTTATACAAGAGAGGGATGGAGAAGTGTCATGTTAATCAGCCATGGTAAATCCACTGCTGGATGAAGGCCCATCCCCCTTTCATGCTCTAGCGATGGAACAACCCAGCCTGGTGTAGAGTTAGGAATATGGTGAGGAGTATGGTGAGTGGTCGGGGATAGGGTTAGGGTTTTGGTTATAAATATTGACAGAGTTATTCATAGTGGGATTAGAGACAGGGGTCGGGTGTAGGACTAAGAATAGATTTAGGAGTATGGTAGGTGTAGGGATAGTGTTCACGTTATGAATAAGGGCAAGACTATATATTATTGGGTCTTTCGGTAAAGTCACGTAGATAGGTTCAAAGAAAATAACCAAAAATAACAAAAAACTACGACGTTTCGATCGCAACACAAGCGAGCGTCTTCTTTACTGAAGACTTTCCTGAAGACGACCCGCTTGTGTTGCGATCGAAATGTCGTAGTTTTTTGTTATTTTTTGTTATTTTCTTTGAACCTATCTTGGTGACTTTACCGAAAGACCCAAGAATATGAATTCCTGCAGTCACAAAAAGACTTGGGGTTTGAGTCGTGAAAAGAGACAAGTGTGGGTTTGGCAGAGGCATCTGTGCCGGTGTTAGAGGTAGCGTCAGAGACATTGGTAGGTGGTTGTGTTACAAATATGACGAGTAGACTAAGAGGTTACGGGAATTGTGTTAAGTGATGGATATGGGCAGGGTCACGGGCATCGGTCAGTGTTGAGGAAGACGGGGATGGCTATGGATCACAATTTTTTGGCATAACTAGATAGCGGGCTCCGATGAGGTTGACCAAAACGCACGTTCGTACGGAGTTTGCTTACAAACGCATATTCGTACTGCGCTCCTGCGACAGTGGTGCATAGAGCACGGTATCTCATCGTGTTGTACCAGTTTCTACGCCATTATGTGCGCATTTGTATGTGTCTGCGTGCGTGTGTGTTTGTGCATGCATAGCCAAATATTACAATTTTAATTCCACCACCCCTCCCACGTATTCCTTCTGCTTATCCTACCCAAAGCATCACCGCCTTAACTCTATAACCACCACCATCTTAATCCTAACTACCACAAATCTACTCATCGCCACCACCTCCCTAACCTCCCGAACCATAACAGCACCCTAACTATCACCATTCTGACCATTCACCTAGCCCTAACCACCACACGAACTGCCACCACTCTAACCTGAACCACCACCATCCCAACTACCACCATCCTAACCCTCACAACCACCACCACCACCACCATCTTATACATCACGACCCTAACCATAACCACAACTGTAACCACCATCACGCTAATCCTAACCACTACCCTAATCACCACCATCCTAACCCTACCCATCAGCCTAACCCTAACCACCACCATAACCCTAACCACCATCACCACCACCCATGACCGCCACACTAACCACCACCACCACATTAACCACCACCACCACCCCCCTAAAGCTAACCCTCACCACCCCCATCAACCACAAATAACCCGAAACACAACCACCACCCAAACTACCACCAAAACCACCATAACCCTAACCACCATTATTATAATCCTAACCACTAACCACAACCCTAACACTTACCACCACCACCACCCTCCTTACCCAAACCTTAATAATTATTACACCAATTCTAACCACCCTAACCACCACCACAACCACCCCCGCCTTTCCAACCCCCCCCCCCCCCCTTCGCTTTCACCCGCGCCGACATCCCCGAGCCCTCTTGGCCCATCCCCTGCGTCTCCCTCCCCGCCCCGGCGCTTCTCCGTGCACCCAAATCTCGTCGGCGGTTGGCGGTGGCTCGTCGGCGAGCGGGCGGCGAGCGGCGAGCGGCGGTTCCCACAGCCCCGCCGGGGTGCGCGGCAGGAACCGGTGGCTTTGGGCCCGTGCCAACGGGTCCCACACAATGGGGGATGCAGCACAAAAAGCATTGAAATGGCGTTCACGCAAAAAAGATGGCGAGACCTCCAGTAGGGGAGGAGGAGGAGGGCGGTGGCGGCGGCGGCGGCGGCGGGCGGCGGCGGGCGGGTGTGGAAGGGATGTACCGGAATTTTAAACACGGCGAGACGACGGTGAGAATCGTGCGCGCGTGATGATTTTTTTTTTATTGGCTCGGGATGATTTTTTTTCTCTTTCCCCTTCGATTGTTGTGGCGTGTGTTTTTTAACGTGTTTTTTTTCTTTTAACAACACGTTTCTCGCCGCTACCACCGCCACTACGACCGTAGTCGGGGGCTCTTCCTCGGGCGATTTTTTTTTTTTATTAAACGTTGCAATGCCAGCGCTCTGCTCGATGTGCAATGTCTGGGATGTGCAGGGGTAGGGGGGGTCGGTGGCTCGCGTTTGAGCGGTGGAACGGTGCAATGGTGGCAGTCTGATGCAGGTGACGTAAACCAAAAAAAAATGTAATAATTACGCTAACGCCGCTAATTGCGTTATACGTGTTTGTCAGCATTTATTCATAAGCATGGGTCGCGCCTTTTTGCAAAACGCAATTACGTTTATTTTTCACAAATTATACATTCGTGCGCTCCCCAACCGCATTTGAAGCTTCGAGTGGAGCATTTTGCTTTCATGGAAATCTCGTTGAAAGTGCAGCTGCATGTCAAGTTGCGGGTGACCTGGAAGTGATATCATAGAGCTTGGCCCAGCATCGTTGAAGGCTTTATTGTACGGGAAGTTCTACTGATGTGCCGGTTAGGGCGCCACGGTGGCGAGATGTTAACTTCCTCGCCCGGTATACAGGTCCTCCGGTTTTTATACCTCCACATTTATAATCAGAATGCGTTGAAAGTATTTGGCGGCTATAACTTTCCACATGATAAGCCACTTAGTTGAGCTATCATTTGTGGCCAGGGTCTCTTCTGAAAAAGAGCTCCCACAGCTCAGTGGGCTTTAACCTGGTAAACTAAAAAAAATAGTTTAGTTTATAGCTTAGTTTAGATCACCCTTTAGCTTGGTGACAAGAGTGAGCTGTTTGCTGCATTTGCCTTTTCTGCCGAAAAGGTCCTTGAACTTGGAGCGTAGCCCACATGAAGGGAAAGCCAAATGTAGCCCAGCGACCTGTTTGTGAAGATCTTTGCGATGTGCGTGCGTGTGTGGCTCTGGAATGGAAAAATCAATGGACTTGCCAAGCGAAGAAAAAATTGGCGCAGCGAAGGAATGCAGATTGCAACCAGTATTTGGATTCAAGCTCATGTTGTAGTATTAGGGTTACTGTACTGTATACACGGATAGGGTTGGGCCACGTTAACATTTTTAAATAAAACATGTTGTGAAGGCTGTTTAATTTGAATCGTGCACCGCTCATTTGAATGAATGTAATTACCCGTGAAGCATCCAGGAAAACAAACAGAAACAGTTTGTTGTGACTGAGACAGAAAAGGATGATGTGGACTTCTTAGCTGACATTTAATAACTTAATTTTTTTGGGCAGTGGCCACTATTCATAGCACATCTCTCCACTATGACAAAGGCGCCATGGTGGTGAGATGTAACTACCTCGCCTGGTATACAGGAGGTCGTGGGTTCGATCCTGACCCTGACGCATGTATATTTGGAGTTTGCGTGTTCTCCCTGTGGTCATGCGGATTTTTCTCTAGGTCCCTCGGTTTTTCCCACCACATTTAGAATCAAAATGCGTTTTGACTTTTTGGCTGCTATAAATTCCCACGTGATAAGCCACTTCGTTGAGCTATCGTTTGTGAGGGCCAGGTCGCTTCTGAAGAAGATCTAAATAGCTCAGTGGGCCGTACCTGGTAAAAAAAAAAAATTGTCTAAGGGATATTGCCCAAAACGTAAGCTATTGTCCGAGATTTCCTCTTCAGGGGCGGTGTTACTGACAAATAAATGCATTCAGTTTTTGTTAGTTGGTGCTCATGCGCCGCTCCCAATGCGCGATCAGAGGTTTTTTTCCTTTTTTTCCCTTATTTGCTCCACCGAAATCGCTGAACGCACCAACAATTCCGTTTTCGGGCAAGCAAGCGACCTGTTTATTTATTTATTATAAATCGCCGACGGGCGCCATGACACCTGGTCACCTCCCCAGACTCCTGAGCAGCCGTTCGCACGGATTCCATGATCCGACGAATTTTTGTATATTTTTATGATTATTTATTTGTGGCGGAGGGCATGCGGATTGATGAGGGGGGGGGACATTGCTTTGTGACGAGCGTTGACCTTGCTCGACCACACGGCTCCTGACAGTGAGGAGGAGGAGGCCAAGGGAATTGGTCAGTCTACCGAGTTTTTCACACACCGCACGCACACGCACCACACTCGCACCGTACCGCGAATACACGACGCCAGAACTTCTCGCCAGTGGCTCTTGCCAGCTTGGCCGATAATCGAGCCAGGTCTCGGCCGTGCTGACACGCGATGTGGACCGAGAACGGGGTCCGGAGGCGCTAGGCAAGTGCCAAAATAATTCACCTCCACTGAGAGTTCTTGAAATTCCCCCCAACCACCTCTCTACCTTGCCAGGTCCCCCCCACCCCCATCACCTATCACCCCCCCCCCACAGCTTTTACTTGCATTTTAATGCCGGTGAAATTATGACGAGCGAGATGATTGGACTGCAACAGCGACAATAACAACGGCAGCGAAAACGGGGCGAGGCTGAGGCTTTGATTATCGGCGCTCGTCTGACGTGAGCGCGCACGGTCATTTTGTGACCCGTCGATATGATTTGCGTCGTGTCATTATTATTTATTTTTCCTTTAAAATTATCTCCTCTGCAATTGTTGTCCGACGCACCTTTTTGTTTCGCGAGGGAACTCTTCATTTCAGCGAAATGCTTTTTTTTGTTTTATTTCAGGAAAGCCCACAAGGGATTGGATATTTTTGTGGTCGCAAAAAGACCGATCGTATTCGTCTAGGTATATGACAGAAGGTTATGCGCTTGCTCTAAATATATTAATATTTTTTCGAGCCACACAACGACATTTTGTTTCGGATCATGTTGCAAGGTCACATGGACCATTGGAAAGGTACTTTCATTATAAAGTGTTATTAATAACTAAAATGTTACGTGCAATTACACAGAAACGTGCTCTACTCTCAGGCGTAATGAATTCGGGGCGGTAATGGCGTGCCACTGCTTGGCTTTAGAGATGGGAGATTTGCTGATGGTACATCTATGAGTTAAAAGCGATGTAAGGTTACTTGATCATATCAATGTGCCTTTTCGCCATATCATTTTACTAATATATGGATAATCCCTTGCATCTTGTAAATCCAGTTATAAACTTCTAATATGCATGATGAGCTGGCTTTGGAATTGCTTCCCGACGTGCCAAGACGGATTTGTTGTTTTAAAAACTTAACGTCCCTTGTGATGATCGACTTTACATTTGAAGAACAAAGGCCCAAAGTGGTGGAGCCATATTACCCAGTTAAAATTAAACATTTGACTTACTTGTCACATGTTTAATTGGAGCCCGGACGTCAAAGGGTCCTTGCATTGAACAGCGAACTTAATTAAATCGTTGCTTTTCATTTCATTAAAATATACAATTACCATGTTCTACAAGCATCCTAAGAGAAAGTCGAGGGTAATTGTATTATTTTAATATATTTTTTTCAAAACGTAACAATTGTGCTGTGCCAATTGCCATACACATTAACCAAAAAAATTAAATTTGAATTGCTAATTCGTGCGGTTATTGAAGTATGCTCACGTAACACAAATTGTCTTTATCGTGGTAACATTTTTTCAAATGGCGCTTTTGTATGTTTTCGAGCCCATCTCCACGTAGCGCACGGAGGCATTACTGTACACGGCACCTGCCAAAAACACACTCGTCCGATGGTGTGTGTGTGTTTTCTCTCGGTTTGCAGAGCACACGCAGCCCTCAGAGCCTCCAAAATGCCAAGCGGCCAGAAACAGACGGCACGATTTTGAAGGTATAAATAGTACGCGTTAACCCTCTTGTCAACAATGTTGATGATTCCGTCTGCAAATTTGCATCGCACAGCAAACGCGTCGAATGTCAGGCAACGCTAAATAAAAAAAACGCACAACAACCCTGCAAGCAACTCTAAAAGCCGGGCTCTCAAGATTAAAAAAAACGCACTTCAAGTTTTTCGGGTTATTTTCTGGCACTGTTGTCGTGTTGCGTTGCCTCGCATTTTTTTTTGCGCGCGCGCGCCCGCGTACATTTTTCGGACTCCTAATCAGAAAAAGCTGTTAAGAGGCTTAGCGCAATTACGCGCAGGCTCGTCCTGATTGGCGCACTAGCGTGGTGAGACCCGCCGTGTGTGCGTGCGTGCGGGAGCGAGCCATGCCATCAATTCACGAGACCCCCCCTCACTCGCTCGCTCTCCCGCTCGGGCGCTCGCCGCGCTCACAAACCGCACGCTACCTCCGCCAGCGAATAAGCGCGCCGTTTGTTAGCCCGACTTGATTTGCATGCTGTTTTGTCTATTAATTTGCCGCCTGAACGACCGACAAAGGGTTTTGGAGTTTTTTTTCCTTTCTTTGCTGTCCTAGATACAGTAAGACGCCTGTATACAAGCCATTCATGATATACATTAAGCGGCTGTGTGTGTTTGTGTGGAGCTAGAGATGGGGAGCGGTAGTGTAGCAGTTAGCGCGCTGCACTACGAGCCCAGCGATCCAAGTTCGATTCCCGCTCACGGCCAAACACCATTGACGAAAATCTGAGCTGGTCCTGGGTGTCTCCTCGGTCGACTCGGCCTCAAATGAGTAGCTGGTTCGATGTATAAACATCGCCACTGGGGAGACAAAGGCGGCCGGGCGTGATGCTTTCAACCCTCCCCCTCGTGTGCCTTTCCTGCCTTCATAGGTGCTCGCTAAAAGCACCTGCCCCACCAGTCTCTTAAAGGCTATACGGGGGTTCTTTGTCTTTGGAGCTAGAGATGCCCGGCTGAATCGGTGCCGCTGCTGGTGCCGTCGCGGTGGTTTCGCAGACTGCCGCTGGTTGCAAAAGGCTTGACAATTGTCTTGGATTAAACATTTTAAATAGCAAAAAGAGCAGATGGGGCGGGGGGGGGATATTCTAAGTGCATCCTGTAAGATTGACAGGGCTGTAATTGTTACGTCGTTGGTACATTTGGGATTCTTATTTTTTTGTAAACCATCACTTTTGTACACAATGAACCTTACATCTCACTACAGTCTGGAAATATATCGCATTTTGCTATTTTGCGATGAAAAAAGTCACTGTCGCTTGTAATGTGAGCGGCTCGAACCCTCGTGAACCTCACGTGTTTTGGGAGAATTAATGCTCGCAAGCCTGTTCGTGTTGTTTTGATCTCAGTGCAGAAGTGGAGAGAATCTTTGCTGGGGTTGGAGGTTGGTGCGATGGGTTTGGAGATTCGGGGGGAGAGGTGGAGGGGCGGTTGGGTCATGGTGGTGGCGTGGGGGGGTGGCGGTGACGACGATGACGATGGCATTGGCGCTAACAGCCAGCCAGAGCGATGAGACTGATGAAGTTGGAAGAGGGTGCGGATGAGGTATTGATACGGTTGGGATGGTAATGAGGATTCGGGAGATTCTTGGGGTGGGTGGGAGGGGGGGGGCTGCGGCGGCAGTTACAATCAGACGTCTGTATTCATCCCATCGCCAGTGTGATAGCCGGCGCTGCCGGTGCCGGTGAAACCCTAGCGCTGGTGCGGTGTGACGGCACGCGAGCGAGCGAAGGTGGTACCTCGTCTTGCTGGCGTGACGCGGCTGTTTGTCATCCGGGCCGGCGATTTACATCCGGGTCAGGTGACGGTGGCGGGGGCTGCCGAATGAGCGAGCTTTAAAACCTTCCCCACTCCGGCACAGGGCGCCGGCTGTTGCGCGACGGAGAAACAAGGGGGGGGGGGGCGGGGGGGGGGGGCTGGTGGTGGGGGATGGTGGGGGCGGGGGGCAAGAATCGGGGTGGGGTGGGAGAGTTGTAGGATGAAGAGGAGAGATGGAGGGAGGGATGGAGGAATGGGGGGGGGGCGGCGGGGGGTGGTGAGGGGGGGGCGGCGCGCCGGCTGATGTGGAGGGTGGGTCCTTTCTGCCTGCCGCAGGGATGCCTTCCGCGCCCATCGCCACTGCCTGATTTCCGAGTGAGCTCCGCGCTGCGTTGCCTTTGCCGCCTCCGCCGCTTCCCGGGGCATCCCGGTCGCCCTCCCGCCCGGCCGCCCGTCCGCCCGCCCGCCCGCCCGCCCGCCCGCCCGCTCGCCCGCCCGCTCGCTCGCTCGCCTGCTCGTTCGTTCGTTGCCGGTGGCCGGCGGCTCTCTGCTGCTCCCCGTGCTTCTCCCCCAACCACCCCCCACCCCACCACCACCACTCCTCGTCGTCTGTCGGCATTTCTGTTCCTCGCGTTCTTCTTCCTCTCCTGCAGCTGCGCTCTGCGAGCAGGTGCCAATGTCGGCATTGTCGGTCCCGGTACCAGGCGAGAGCTCTCGCCCTCACGGCTCGGCCGGCTTCTCTCGCTCTTTTTCCCTTCTCACTTGTTCTCACCCCACTCTCTTACACTCGCTCTCCCGCGCGCTCTCTCCCTCGCTCTCTCTCAAGAATTGTTGTGTTGGTGCCAGCTTACTCTCTCCCCTTCTGCTTTGGCACATGTTTCCCATCGCCCCCCCCCAGTCCCTGCCCTCTTTCCAAAGCCCCCCCCCCCCCCCCACTGCTCTTCCTTGTCCGCTGTTTTAGCTTCGCACGCTGCTCGCCACCACCCACACGTCCCCCCCCCCTGCCAACTTTACCCGAACCTTCCCAACCTCGACACAACCCCCCCCCACCTCCCCCACCCATCCCCTATGCTTCTCTTTCCCCAACGAGCTCGTTGATGTACCCCCACCACTCCCAATTAACTCCCCCCAGCCCTCCCATCTGTGCCAGTAAAAAAAAACTTTTGGCTCGGGCTTGGCTTGAGTTTTACAGAGCTAGAAGGCACTCGGAGAAACGGCGGTGGACGTGTGTGTGTGTATATATAAAAAACCCCGAAAGTCGGCTGGAGCAGAGTGCTGGGACTGCTGCCAAGCTCCCAACAAAAGCCTAAAATAGGTTTACGAAAAAAATTCTTAAATTACCACTGCTGCTGTCTGCAAGTGTGTTTTTGGGCACTGCACATCCATTTCCCCCCCCTCCACCCCCCTCCTCCTCCTCTCACCGTTCTTGTTGCATATGAATGCGCTGCCTTTGTGCAGAAGTCACGAAACAAAAGCAGAATTAAAATTGTGGGCACATCTCGATTGCATGTTGCGCGGGATTTTTTTTCGAACTGAATTTCGAGGGGTTTTTGTTGTTCATACTTTTAATTGCGTACGCTCGTGAGGCGGCATTTATATGTTTATTTGCTCAGAATGCATTATTGCGATTTTACTCGTGTCTGGCCGTTGGGAAGCGCGCCGTGCCCGTACGACGGGGCTTGGCATGGGTGCCACGGGCCAGCCAAGGCGACCTCCTTGTCTCGGCTGCATTATTCATGTGTGTGTGTGTTTGCAAAGGGCCTGGCAGTGGGTTAGTTGGCTGGCTGGCTGGGCTGGCTCTCGCTGGCTCTCGCTGGCTCTCGCTGCGATTTGCTCCCTGGCCGCGGGGTCATTAGAATGCATCAGACATTGCAGTTCTTGACTAGTTTGAATTTTTTTTTTTTACGTCTTTTGTTTTAAGCGCCGACTTCCTAATTAGCAGATGAGTGCAGAACAGTGCTTCCATTGATGCCCCGCTCCGGCTCTGCAAATTCTTTTTTCCTTCTAAATTCCCCCCCCCCCCCTCCTCGTTTTAGCGCAGCGGTCCTCTGCACATGCGTTGGCGCCATAGCAGGCTCGGCACTGTATGGCGCGCGGGCAGCAGAGGAATAAAAATAAATATTAATAAAGCGGGGAGGATTCTGCGTTTAGCCGCGACAGGATCCGATCGCCTGGGCTCGCTTCCCACTGCCAACACGAAACGCTCGCGTGCTCTCTTTCTCCGCGTGCTCGCGTGCGCACACGCACGCACAAGAGAGAGGGGAGAAAAAAACAGCTAAATAAACAAATGGAAAATGATACGTTTTATTTGCGCGAGAAGAAAATAATACTCGCGTAAATTTATAGCAAAATGGAAACAAATAATAAAATAAAAACGACCGTGCCTGAACGTAATTTGTGCATTCTTATCGTCCACCCCCCCCCTCCTTCGTTGCCCGCTTGCCCCCCCCCCTCCTCATCTCCTGACGTCGAGCTCGTTTAAACGGCGACGTATTTTTCCTTTGCAGGGCGTCGAGGGGCCTTGACCGTGGAGTCTGGATCAGCCGCCGCTGCGTGATGCTCGGCTCCTGTGCAAAGGTAGGATGGGCGGGCGGGCGGGCAAGCTGGCGAGTGTGTGGTGTCTCTCTCTACTGAGGCTTCATCTCGGGGGCTTAGCGGGGAAGCACTGTGTCCGCCACGGCCCGATTTGCCGCATAGAGCGGCGACAGTGGCGATGGGCGCAAAAATGCGGTCCTTCGCCGGAAAAAATATATACATTTTTCGCGAAACGCGTTGGCGAAAATCGGTGGCGTCAAGCTTTTGTGTTTTTTTGCCCTAATTGTGTTTTTGTTTGTTGATGCGCGTTAAACGGAGTTCAGCGGATTTTTTTTTTCGCCTTTTTTTTCTTTCCGCCGTGCCACCCCGCCGATGTGATGCCATGCCAGCCACCATTGTTTCGCGTTTCTCTGTGCGTTGTCTGTTTCTTTTTTTTCCCCCGACATTACTTACGTGTGCCGCCACCACCACCACACCTCCCCGCCGCCCGCTGCACCCCCCTCCCTTGCCAACTCTCAATGCCATCCCCCTACCAATGCCCACACCCGCACCCCCTCCACCCCTCTCTCCCCCCCCGCCCTCTCCCCGCTGAAAACCACTCTTCGTTTTTCGCAATTTGTGAACGCCCATACAGGGGCTGTGCCCTCCAGCCTATATATGCCGGGCACACCCCTGCCCACCGCCCCCCCCTACCCCCCCTTCTCCGCCACAACCATTCCTCCGCCAACCACGCACACACCCCCGCCAACGCACTCGAAAATCCTCCCCCTTCTTCATGAATCTCCCCCCCCCCCCCACCCCCTTTCCCATCCAGTGCCACTCCCGGTTTTTGCACCAGCTATTCCCTGGGCTGCAATGCAGCAGCAGCCTGGGCGAGTGGGCAACTCCCCTTTTTGGCGCAGAGACTCGACTCGACATCCACGCGAGGTGGGAGACAGGCAGACGGCTCGTCGTGGGCTGCGGCGGAGGCGCGCCGCCGCGGTCGCCCTTCGCGAAAAGAATGCCGCCGCCACCGTTCGTTTGAATTATCGCAAAACAAAAAAAAACAAAAACGATAAAGCGTTTACGCGTATTTTTTTCGCGGCAACTTCGTGGCCGAACGACAGGGCCCGACTGGCTTTTTTTTTTTCTTTCTTAATTTTTGGGATAGTTTTGTAAAAAGATGTAAAAAAATAAGAATCTCCTGTTGTGCGCGCCAAGGAAGTGGGGCTCTCGGATGGCGATCGTTGCAGGTGACGTTTGGTGAGATGGCATCGCGATTTTTTGCTTTTTTTTTTTCCCCTCCCAGGACAAGACAATGCCATCCATATTTACGATTTCATTGTGCGCTGCCTCTGACTTTTGCCTACTGCAGTGCGGGGCAGCCATCTTGTCGCATTTATATACTACGAAGCTACCATTTTGTTTTTTTGTAGAATTTTTTTTTGGGTGGAAACGCGTGTCCCGTATTTATCGTTCTTTAAATCTTTCGAAAAAAAAAACACCCCGCTGGCACAGACGCCGTGTGGTTGTTGGTTTGGCACCGGGCACGGTGGCGCTTCTTCTTTTTAGCGCTAGAAGAATGGCCGAACAATCGCGCTTTTCGAGTACTTTTAACCGAACTACGGCGGCGATGGAAGCCATGTTGTTTTTGTTATATTTTCTTTTGACACCGCGGGCAAATTTTCGATACTTTTTATTTCGTAGGCTATCCATAGCTTGGACGTTTTTCCATCGAAATTTCACTTCGCCTTTTCGACGTCGTCGATGATTTTGGACGAAGCGAAAGCCAAAACGGCGGCCATTGGCGAGTCATGGCACGTGGAACCGCTCAACGCTTTTGACAAATTTGTTTGGTTTCTTTTAGAGAAACTTGTTTATGTTTGTGCGTACTATAGTTTGAGCAAGTATAAATAAATTCTAAAATCCAGGGCTTTGAAAATAGAGCGAAATTAGGTACCGAAATTGCGGGAGAATATGTTATTTATATATGGGTCACGCCCCATCACTGTATGTGTACGGGGTTTCCCAGACTGCTGTTTAGGGGTGCGTGGCTGTTACTTTGATTCAAGGACTTGCATCAGAATCTCTGCCAATTTTCGTAATTTTTTTCCGATAATTTTTAGTTTTGTTTTTAGAGATAAAGTGGATTCTTTTTTACGCTGTCAAGCGGCTTAAAATATAAACAAAACAACGCTAAGACATTACGCTGCATTGGACTATTTCACGGGGCTCTTTGTATTTGAAGCTGCTTTTAGTTTTTTCAAATGAACTCTTGCGCAAATTTGCGAGGCAATTTTTTTTACACCATTTTTACGTTTGCAATAATATTTGACTTGATACATTTCAACCATCTTTTCCGCACCTTTTCTTCATATTTTTCAGAACTACGTATTGTTTCTGTTATTTATTTGTAACAATTCTAGTTTTACACGCAGCCAGTCACATTTATTTAACGTTCTTTTTGCCTCTGGCTTTTACTGTACACTAAAAACGCGTTTCGTTGCCAGATGGGGCACGGTAACATTGGCGCCATTTTTTTGCGTTTCGACCGCAGATAACGGTGGGATTCCGCTGTCCGTCTATCGGAAGGCGGCATCCAAAGTTTGACTCCATCGTTCGTTGCCCGAGCTTTTTGGGATCGTCACCCCATAGTTTTGCTTAGGGGGGTGGGGGGGGGTCATAGGGTTAGTATTTTGGGGGAGAAATTAGCTTGTTTAAATTAGGAACCAGTGGAGCGAATCTGTCGCTGGAGCTGCATGCCTCCGAGTTGTGTATACTTTAAACAAAACGGCTATTATTTTTTCCAATAACACATCTAATGTGTACTGGCTTTTTCATAACATTTTTAAAAAAATGGCAAAGCCTGGCTTGTCACGTTTTCATTTCTGGCTCCGAACGTCACAACGCTAATTTAGTGCTTTTGATCAGATAGCACTCTTAACTGTGCCGCGGAAAATTTTCAGTAACCGATGGTGTTCATGAGCCGTTGTTGTTTTATGCGAACGGGAAATAAAATGGGGAAAAAATGAAATGAAAAGAAGTTTCATCCATCACGGAAGCTGCCCTGTGCGATGACAGTATCTGTCACGATCGGCCGTTCTGGAGACCCGTAATGCCAACGCAATGAGGTCCTGTGGCAGAAGCGTAGATCATTAATATGTAGATTCGTGTACAATTACTGTATTTATTCTTGCGTATGGCTGCCATTGTTGAGAAAAGTATAAGTTTAACAAAGCGTTATCGAGGTAAACCTCTTAAGTAATCGTCGGAAATGTATTTAAGTGTGTCAAATTATAATCGGTACATACAGTTTGTCAGCGGAACTTGTTTCAAAATCTTTTTTAAACATGTAGGTAATATATAACTCAAGACGATTTAGGCTGTGCGGGTAATTATTGTTGCAAGTTTGTTGGCGGTATAAAAACAAGTTCCATTTAGTTGTAAAATACATCGCTTGATAAAGAAGGCAATGAACAGAAGTGGTCCAATTTTAATGAAATTTAATTTCGGTGTTTTCTTTTTCGCGTTGAATTTTTGCACAGATTTAATCCTGAATGAGCCTTTTGGGGGTTTTTTGCTTGCAGAGACAAAAAAAAATCCATGTTTTATTGTTTTAGGCTTGTAGCCGGGCAGGTTACAGAAACGACGATCGTGCTGCAATGCCACTTTAATCCCAAAAAAAAAGTTTCGCTGGAAACTGTATTTTTTAATGATCGTTTGAAAACATTTCAATGAACACGCACGGCTATTACGCAAGGGAAAACAGGAGTGCTTTGCGTTGTGTCGGCGGTGATGTTCGTTAGCGGCTCGATTCGTACACGAGCAAAAAACGCTCAACAATCGTGCGTCTTTATTTCGGACGGGTGCTGCGTGCGGCGGTTGGGGAACCGTTGTTGAGACTTTGGGCGCATCGGTCGTATCGAAGGTAGAACTGGCTCGCTGTGCAGGTTCAAGAGATCGTTGCGTTTGTGGGCGGGCTGCATCGCAGAATTTGAATGAGTCACACTGCTGACCTACATTTTAAATCTTTTGTTGATTGAAAATTCTGACTTTTGCCTGCCGCAACTCATCGACAAATGTTTGGCTGCATCCATGGCAGTTGATGTGACCATTTATTATTACCAAAAAGAAGTAACCAAGCTTTTTGCTGGAACTCAATTAAAAAAAGTTTCAACAATTAAAGTAGATCGAGTCGTTTAAGAAAAGGAACAATTCTTTACAAGCATAACTATTTGCCCACCCGATCGTCTTTTAATACGGGTTTTTTTTTAAACGCGCCTGCGTTTTATGCGGCGCGAGATTGAAAACGACGGGTTAACATGAGCAAACACGGCCCGCACGAGTCCACGGGTTCATTTGGGCAAGGAGTCCAAGTTGGATCCGAGTTTTATTTTTCCATGGCAGGCGTTCAAGATTTTCTGCTGCTGCAGCAGCAGCGGCGGCGGCGGCGGCAGTGACGGTGGCGTCAGCCCCAGGGCTGCTCGCCTCTATCTGCCGAAGTGCTGAACATTGCTCTTTGAGTCCGCTGCGATTTCACGTCACTCTGTAACGGACTGGCAGGCGACTGTTGCCAGCAAAAACTTACGTTTCCAATCGTTTGACGGCATTTGCGGCGGCGTCTTTGTCCCCCCGGAGATTTTTTCTAACCGTCTGCACGATTACGTGGAGAGAGCTCTTGGTTGCAAAAACGTGCGGAGGAGGGGCCTGGCTTGTGGCTGCCATTTTGAATTACTTTTTTTTACTTGCACACCGCCCGGCCCGAAGCTCCATATATTTAATTTTCGGCCCTCATTTCGCCCGTCCGTTAGTTTCGACCGCGCGGCTTCATCTCGCGGCCGAGCTCATCTCCCGTCGTCGTCGTCGTCGGCACCACCGCCGTCCGGCGCCAACGGCGGCTGGTTGCAGGTGAGAGCGCGAGCGCGCGCGCGCCCAGTTTCGCGGCGGGCGGGATCGGGGAGACACGGCGGGCTTTGGTCGGTAGGCGGTGGCGCTCGCGGGAGAGAGCTCGGCGCAAGCGAAGTCGCCTCCTTTGCTTTTGTTTCCGTGGCGGTGGCTGCCAACGCCGGCCGTTTGTGTGGTTGCTGGCGCGGGCGGGACGCGCGCCACAACGTGACCACAGACGGAGGCTTCCATCCACGGGGCTCCTCCCTCTCTCCCCCCACCTCTGCCGCCACTCGCGGCCCCTCGGCGTCGCACTGTAAGCTTGGCTTCCGCGAGAGTTGTGTCTGTTCAGCCGGATTTTTTTGGACGGTGTCCGACCACGGTTGTTGGAAGAGCCCCCCGGCCGGCGCGCACAAATTTTTATCGGTGTTTTTTTTTTGTTTAATACCTCTGCGCGTTTAAAGTTAGAATTTTAGCTAGCTAGATGGGTGACGTGCGGGGATGTTTCTTTTTTTATTCTGCCGTGGTTCGTGCCTCCGTGCGTTATTTAGCTTTGCGCGCGTGGCGACAGAGCGGCGGGACTAGTTTGTGTTGCGTTGTGAATGCAAAATGGACGCATGAGATGTGTGGGGAGTTTTGGAACAAAGCCGCCCCGATGCAGGTCACCTCCTGGGCTGACCTGGTGCACATCAGGACTTAATTAATAATGCAGCTTGTGCCAGCATCTCGGTGCAGATGGCACAGGCAGAATATGAATACGTTACCCCATTAGCATTTTCATTATTGCTGGAGCGATATAACTGCTAATGCGTACGTGGTTAAACAACAAAATCAGCTCCGATGTCTTTCAAGTGCTCACCTCAGGCAGGTGTGATTTGGTGTTTAAATCTGAAATTGGACTTTAATTCGGCGCGATTGCAAATCACACAGCCGGCAGCAGTAAAAGTCGTCATCGGTGTGAAATAAATCAACAGGGGGCTGATCGGTTGACTTCTCCTGTAGGCCCGTGACCTTGCGTTGGCGTATCCACTCCCGACCTCAACGGCGCCATTGCTCCACCAACG